TGCTGGTGCTGGCGCTGACCACCACCGGAGCCGCTCCGCTGCGAAGCACCACCCTGACCAGCTCCACCTCCTCCACCACCGCCGCCTCCACCTCCGCCACCACCGCCGCCTCCGCTCCCACCGCTACCGCCTCCGCCGCCTCCGCCTCCGCTGCTGCCACCGCCACCTCCACCCCCGCCGCCACTCCCACCGCCACCCCCACTCCCTCCGCCGCCTCCACCGCCACCTCCACCACCCCCGCTAGCTCCACCCGCGCCCTTGCCCCCCTTGCCCTTGCGAGAGCGACGTCTCCCGCTAGGGGCAGACGCCGCACCGACCGACTCAAGACCAACGAGGTCGGCCGCAGCAGCAGAGGCGACAGAGGGCAACAGGGGGGAAGGGGAACACCCCTCAAAGATGGGGGTGCGAGGGTCACCACGAGAGGCTCCTACAGCGACTATGCTCTTCTCCGCTGCTAGGAGGGCCTTCTCGAGGAGGTCAACGGTGAGAGTGGTGGGACAGACCGAGAGGAAGTGATCCCTGACTACGCGAAGGGAGTCAGGGAGCCGGGTGACTATATAATAGAGAGTGATGTACATTGGGGGGGGGGGTTCTTGGCGCAGAACTCAGCAAGAAGCGCGGCGCGGTAGCGAGTGTCACTAGTGCGGAGGTGTGTAATGAGGTCAGCAATTGTGGGAAAGGCAGCAAGGTCAGAGAAGAGGTACGATAGCATGAGGCGGCTCAGTGCAGTAGTGGCAGAGGAAGAGTAGCGCGCAACTACAGCGTCGTACAAGGTCTGAGCACTCCTGTATTGACTAAAGTGCGTGCGCTCAGTGGTAGGCAGGTGGCGACGCACAGCAAGACGTGCAGCAGCATTGCGCGTGGCCCACTGGGAGCGAACACTGGGGTCAGCATTAGCAGCAAGGGCAGGAGAGGCGCCAGAGGTGAGGTCAAAGAGGGAGAGACCGTCTGCCCTATCGCACTGTAAGAACAGCTGCAGGTCGTCGACCCAGACCTCAAAGTCAATGGCTCGACCCTCAGCGTCAAAAGCGAGGACACTAGGGGTAGCCATGACAACAGTAGACCAGCAGTGCAAGCAGTAGGGGGAGGGCAGTACAGTGACAGAGGGGCTGTGCTCACCGGACAGGGCTGCTCGGGCGGCTCAGCGGTAGGGCGGCTCGGCAGCTCGGCGGCTCGGCTGCACGGCGGCTGGGCGGCTCGGCTGCAGGGCGACCCGGCGGCTCGGCGGCTCGGCTGCTCTGCTGCTGGGCGGCTCGGTTGTGCTGCTGCATGGCGGCGCGGCGGTCGGCGGCTCGGCTGGCAGGGGCGGCTCGGGCGGCGGGCGGCGCTGCAGTAGTTGAAGGCGGCGGGGTCGCAACTGAAGGCGGCGGGGCCGCAAGTGAGAGCGGCGGGCCGCAGGTGAGGGTGGGGACGGGCCGCAACTGAAGGCGGCGGGGCCGCAGGTGAGGGCGGCGGGGCCGCAACTGAGGGCGGCGGGGCCGCAGGTGAGGGCGGCGGGGCCGCAACTGAGGGCGGCGGGGCCGCAACTGAGGGCGGCGGGGCCGCAACTGAGGGCGGCGGGGCCGCAGGTGAAGGCGGCGGGGCCGCAAAGGAGGGCGGCAGGGCCGCAGGTGAGGGCGGCGGGGCCGCAAATGAGGGCGGCGAGGCCGCAGGTGAGGATGGGGACGGGCCGCAACTGAAGGCGGCGGGGCCGCAGGTGAGGGCGGCGGGGCCGCAACTGAGGGCGGCGGGGCCGCAACTTAGGGCGGCGGGGCCGCAGGTGAGGGCGGCGGGGCCGCAAGTGAGGGCGGCGGGGCCGCAGGTGAAGGCGGCGGGGCCGCAACGGAGGATGGCGGGGCCGCAGGTGAGGGCGGCGGGGCCGCAAATGAGGGCGGCGAGGCCGCAGGTGAGGGCGGCGACGGGGCCGCAGCTGAGGGCGGCGTCGGGGCCGCAGGGGAGAGCGGCGACGGGCCGCAGGTGAGGGCGGCGACGGGGCCGCAGCTGAGGGCGGCGACGGGCCGCAGGTGAGAGCGGCGACGGGGCCGCAGCTGAGGGCGGCGGCGAGGTCGCAGGTGAGGGCGGCGGGGCCGCAACAGAGGGCGGCGGGGTCGCAAGTGAGGGCGGCGGGGCCGCAATTGAGGGCGGCGACGGGCCGCAGGTGAGGGCGGCGACGGGGCCGCAGGTGAGGGCGGCGACGGGGCCGCAACCAAGGGCGGCGACGGGCCGCCAGTGAGGGTGGCGGGGCCGCAACTGAGGGCGGCGGGGCCGCAAGGGAGGCCGCTAGGGCGGCTCGACGAATGCAGAGAGGGGAGCGCGACTCGGGGAGCGCTCTCCGGGCAGGAAAAAAAAAGTTCGATGTGGTGGGCCCTAGGCACAGTTCTCTTGAGGGAACCTGCTCGATACCATGAGAAACTTAGAACGAGAATGGATGACTAAGGAATGGAAGTGATACAAATATGCAACCCTAGAAATGTGTACCCCATATAGGCTACCCCACTACAGCCTACACAATATTATAATGTGACACGATGTGCTCGCGGACACTCGAGCGCGGCACACAACGTAACCGCGATACTGGTGTCCCGTTTTCCGTCTAAGTCAGGTGAATCCAGTGGGTCATGAGGGGAAAGAGCTTGGTGTGCAACTGGCGATCGGAAAGTGGAAAATGTGGGCATGCTCGGAGTAATGACCAGACACTGCGTGGACGTGCTTGACACGTTACCGCGATCGCGCATCGACCAAACAGCGACAGCTGTGTGGCTCGTTCAAATTGCTGCACGTGTCAGCCGGCATGGAGCCTACCAGATCGCGCCAGCTGTAACCGAACCGGATCTCGCTGTGCGCTTACCGAACATATCCTTGTGCAAATTTTGTTCGCGATAAGTTGCGAGATAGCACAACCAATAGTAGCACTCCTTTGGTTTCGCAAACTCGCGGTTGCATGCGCGGGATGTCCCGCTCGTCAATGTTACCGACCAATCGCGTTTGTTTTCTACCGAGTCGCGCATGCATCGGCGCGTAAGAACGAGATGGGTTCTTTCGGTTTTTTGGGGGCCATGGAGCTTTCGGTGGCAGCCTGGTGGGTTTCACTGAGCCACGCAGGGCCGCGCTAGGTCCAAACCTGGTGGGATTCTGGGTGGCCGACTTCGCCCCACGCTCCCCGCGATGTCTCCGCGCCCCGTGCATCCCAAGGCGTGGGCGGGGTTTTTCCCGAGCCGCGCCGTATGAACATCCCAGTCTGTCTGATCCGAGCCATCTTATGGAATTCGACAATCTCACACACTGCCTGTGAGTGTCGAACTGTTGTAGTCTGCACGCGCATCGGAGAGCGTGCGAAAACGCCTGAGTCACGTACGCGTTGACATTGAGTCGACTTGAAAAGTCAACGCATGCATCTAACAAATGAGCGAGGCTAAATCAACGACGACCGCTTCTCGACGAACCGCATTGTTCCGTGATGAGTCAGATGCGGATACCAAATACTGTCAGTAGATCTGCACTGTGGATGCCCGATTGATCCTGGAGAGGGTTACAGGCGCGTTCGCCTGGGGGGTTATGGGCGGACTGACCCGCTACTGAAACAAGCCCTTTTATCCCAATGGTCTAGTGGTTGGGATTCTGACATGGTATCAGAGCGGTCTCGGGTTCAATTCCCGGTGTATGCACATGTAGGCCGTTGCCGTTGTGCTTAGTCCTGGGCCTCCCAGTGTGGGGGGTTGTCACTAGATCTGCACTGTGGATGCCCGATTGATCCTGGAGAGGGTTACAGGCGCGTTCGTCTGGGGGGTTATGGGCGCACTGACCCGCTACTGAAACAAGCTCTTTTATCCCAATGGTCTAGTGGTTGGGATTCTGACAAATACGTCTAGGAACTTCGACATCGCTCGTCTGGTTAGGTTAGGACCACCAGATGTTGCTTCTTAGGAGGCTACTAATGCCGCGCTACTTCCAAGAACTGAGTTGAAATTCGTGATGGCGTCACTTTCTCGAAAACCTCTCTTTATTCTGCCCCACTACACGGTTCTGGAGAAAAAGTGCTCAAATAGTTAGGGCGTGTGTCCTTCGGCAATATTTGTTAAGTTTGCTTTTTAGACTCGAGTTTTTACAGATTGAACTAGGTTCGAACTGTAGTCGAATATTACAACCCTCGATAGCCGAGCAGCCCTGAAAATTTCCAGTCAAGCAAATGTGAGATCGAGAGTTCGATTATCGAACCCGACTTTCTACAGCATTGCTCGCGTCGCGTACCCTTCTCGTTGGTTACCCTGTCTGTGTTCTTTACAGTGTGCCACGTCGTCAGTGGGCGACACGGAACAGAGCGGCCTACAAATAGCGCACGATGACCTTCGTCAATGTCACCGATTTCGTCGCAGCTATGAACGTGGTCAGAAGGACATACGTTCACAAATTCGTGCGGGCCCACGTTCGGCCATAAAGTTGACCGGTGTTAGTATTCCACATTCGGTTCCATCTTCCGCCGCTGTTTTGACGAATATTGCAAACCATCCTGCCGAAATTGGCGAAACCGGTAACCACCAAAAATTCGAACTCGAATTTGAACATGGCCCACCAAGGACACACGCCCTTAACGTGTCAAAAATTTTGCCAGACAGGGCCGGTTTTGAAAGTAATCTGGGTGTTGCGCGAACAATAATTAATAAAGTCACACTTTCTGAGTAAACTTGTGACCAAACCTAAGGAGCTGGAATATACTCTCCTTTAATTTTACTCGGAACAGCTCATAACGCGGACAGTAAAAAATCCCACGCGATGCTGGTAACCACCCAGAGTTTTGCATGTCGGGATGCGTTTTCCGTATCTCGCTCTGCGTCTGACACCTAGGGTAGGAATTACCCCAGTCCCGAAGTCCCCGATTTGAACCACCGAGTGCATCCAACGCCCAAAAGCTTCACTAATCAGACCAACCTGTTATAGCTTCTTCCTGTGAGCACGGACGGACGCTAGTTTCGCATTCCCGTCCCGTGAGTGCCCTCCGACGCCGGGCATTTGTTTCGCTCCTTTCAGTTCGTCGCAGCCGATTCAGCTTCAGTCGCCTCGCGCTGCCGCAAGCCGTTCGTCGCGTCACGCGCGTAACTCCTCGCCTCAATTCGCGAACTCGCCGAGCAACATCCATAATGCGACAAGGGTGGTACAGCTCATTCTTTGAGCACGAGAAGCACTCACTGCTAATCAGTTGAAGCTTCTATCGGAGCGGGTGGGCGACCTTTTGCGAACTTTCGCGAGTTCAACCGATTTCGCGAAGTTTCGCGGCTGTCAGCCGATTTCACGAAGTTTCGCGGATATTGATAAGTTTTGTGCAGAAGCCGATCTGACTCTAGCAGAAGCCGCATGGAAGGTTCCTCTTCGTCCCCCTCCCCTTCCTCCTCCTCCTCCTCCTCCTCCTCCTCCTCCTCCTCCTCCTCCTCCTCCTCCTCCTCCTCCTCCTCCTCCTCCTCCTCCTCCTCCTCCTCCTCCTCCTCCTCCTCCTCCTCCTCCTCCTCCTCCTCCTCCTCTTCCACCACCACCACCACCTCCTCCTCCTCCTCCTCCTCCTCCTCCTCCTCCTCCTCCTCCTCCTCCTCCTCCTCCTCCTCCTCCTCCTCCTCCTCCTCCCCCTCCCCCTCCTCCACGTCAGCAGAGAATCCGCAGAATCGCCACCAGCCAATCCCAAGGCTCCCAGGTCATGCCCAGGTGCTCGGCAGATCCAACCTACTAGCCTTCTCCCCCAATCAACCCACTCCTCCTCCATCCCTCCTTCCTCCCTCACACCCTAACCCTCCCTCACACTCTAACCCTCCTTCACACTCTCACCCTTCCTCACACTCCAACCCTCCTTCACATTCTAACCCTCCCTCGCACTCTAACACGCACTCACACTACAACCCGCACTCGCACCCTCACTCCCACACGCACCTGCTGCAACCAATACCCGAGGAGGACCCCTCCTCTCTCTCTCAATCCACCCCCAGCCCAGCTCGCTCTCACTCCCTTCCTCTGGATGCTTCAGCAACGGAAGATGCGGCATCAGCCGCAGCAGAAGCTGCACGAGGCAGCACCAGAAGCAGCAGCAGCAGCAGCAGCAGCGCCAGCAGCAGCGGTGGTGGCAGCAGCAGCAGCGGCCGTCGTGTGACGTTTTCAGAGTGGGTTCGTCACAGCGATGCGAGCAGGGATAGCTGGGAGGGCGAAGAGCATGCGAACGAGTTACAAGATTTCCCCTCTTCTCGAGACAGGGGCAGCGGCATGCCAGCAGGCTGTAGACTGAGAACGGTGGAGGGCGGTAGGGAGTGGTTAGGAGCCATTGAGCGGACAGTGGTGGGTGCAGGCCCTTTAATGGATGAAGCAGTGGTTGTGAGGGATGTAGGAGGGGAGCAAGGGAGTGGAACAGGCGCAGGGATCTCTATAATGGGTACAGGGGGGCTTGAGGAGGGGATACGGCTGGGCGTGCGGGAGGGGCCAGAATTGGACGGTCTGGATTACGGGTTTGGGATCTGTGCGGTGGATTTTGATGGAGAATTAGGAGCGGGAATTGGTGGAGAGGTGGGGTTTGAGAGGGGAGGACGGGGGGGCGTGGAGCGCATGTGGGAAGGGGAGCTGTGTGACTGCTTTGATGACTCTTCTGTCGCCACTCAGACCGTCTGGTGAGTGATATTTCTCTCTCAGGGGGTATGGATCATGGAGGTACTTACTTGGCCTGGTGAGTGCAAAGGGGAAAGGATACACGTGGCTTGGTGGGTGGAGCGCATGTGGGAAGGGGAGCTGTGCGACTGCTTTGGTGACTCGTCCGTTGCGACCCAGACTGCCTGGTGAGTTCTCTCTATATGCTTTGTGAAGGGGGGAGGGAGAGGGTGGGGGAGGCAAACGGGGGGTGGGGCTCTGGTGATTGCTTTGACGACTCCTCCATTCAGACTGTCTGGTGAGCTCGTTGTGTGCCCTCTGTGAGGGGGGAGAGAGAGGCATGGAACGCAAGTGCCCTGGTGAGTGAAGAGGGGATGGAGGTGCCCTCATCTCTTTTGAGGCGCCTCAAAAGAGGGGGGAGAGAGAGGCATGGAACGCAAGTGCCCTGGTGAGTGAAGAGGGGATGGAGGTGCCCTCATCTCTTTTGAGGCGCCTCAAAAGAGGGGGGAGAGAGAGGCATGGAACGCAAGTGCCCTGGTGAGTGAAGAGGGGATGGAGGTGCCCTCATTTCTCGCTGGGCTGCCATCTCTGGTGCGCCAAAATGCACATCTCCCTGACTGCAATGATAACACTTCCGACGCGAAACAAGCTGTCTGTCTGGTGAGTGCTCACTCTCTCACAGGGGGATGGAGGTACCGGGCTGGTTTTTGAGTCGACTCAAAAATCGCCTCATCTCCCCGACTGCAATGATAACACTTCTGACGCGAAACAAACTGTCTGGTGAGTGCAGACTCTCTTACAGGGGGGTGGAGGTACCCGGCTAGGCTATATTGAAATCACTTTTGAGAATTCTCAAAACTGTCTGGTGAGTGCTCACTCTTTTATAGGGGGGTGGAGGTACCGGCTTGGTGAGTGCAGAGAAGGGGGGTGGAGGTACCGGGCTGGTGAGTGCAGAGAAGGGGGGTGGAGGTACCGGCCTGGTGAGTGCAGAGAGGAAGTCTCTTCCTTCACCACCTCGTGACTTGTGAGTCGACTCAAAAGTCCACATGTGAGTGAATGCTCTTCGTATATCCTGTTACGCCCTTCCTTCACCACCTCGTGACTTGTGAGTGAGTTGACTCAAAAGTCCACATGTGAGTGAATGCTCTTCGTATATCCTGTTATGCCCTTCCTTCACCACCTCGTGACTTGTGAGTGAGTTGACTCAAAAGTCCACATGTGAGTGAATGCTCTTCGTATATCCTGTTACGCCCTTCCTTCACCACCTCGTGACTTGTGAGTGAGTTGACTCAAAAGTCCACATGTGAGTGAATGCTCTTCGTATATCCTGTTATGCCCTTCCTTCACCACCTCGTGACTTGTGAGTGAGTTGACTCAAAAGTCCACATGTGAGTGAATGCTCTTCGTATATCCTGTTACGCCCTTCCTTCACCACCTCGTGTCTCCCATCCCACACACCACCACCCTGGCAACTGCCTATGCATCTCACTCGGGCAGAACATGGCAGCAGGTTGCAGTCAGTCTGTGATCTGTGGAGTCAATCAGTGGAGTCAATCAGTGGAGTCAATCAGTGGAGTCAATCAGTGGAGTCAATCAGTGGAGTCAATCAGTGGAGTCAATCAGTGGAGTCAATCAGTGGAGTCAATCAGTGGAGTCAATCAGTGGAGTCAATCAGTGGAGTCAATCAGTGGAGTCAATCAGTGGAGTCAATCAGTGGAGTCAATCAGTGGAGTCAATCAGTGGAGTCAATCAGTGGAGTCAATCAGTGGAGTCAATCAGTGGAGTCAATCAGTGGAGTCAATCAGTGAAGCACAGCACGAATTCTCACCCATGCCACCCCTTCTCTCCTTCTTGCCTTCTCGTCTTCACTCTTTCGCCCCTTCTCTCCTTCTTGCCTTCTCGTCTTCACTCTTTCGCCCCTTCTTTCCTTCTTACCTTCTCGTCTTCACTCTTTCGTCCCTTCTCTCCTTCTTGCCTTCTCGTCTTCACTCTTTCCCCCCTTCTCTCCTTCTTGCCTTCTCATCTTCACTCTTTCGCCCCTTCTCTCCGTCTTGCCTTCTCGTCTTCACTCTTTCGCCCCTTCTCTCCTTCTTGCCTTCTCGTCTTCACTCTTTCGCCCCTTCTCTCCTTCTTGCCTTCTCGTCTTCACTCTTTCGCCCTTTCTCTCCTTCTTGCCTTCTCGTCTTCACTCTTTCGCCCCTTCTCTCCTTCTTGCCTTCTCGTCTTCACTCTTTCGCCCCTTCTCTCCTTCTTGCCTTTTCGTCGTCACTCTTTCGCCCCTTCTCTCCCGTTCTCTCACTGCCTCGTGTGTCTTCCATCCCACCCCTCCCTCGCGGCTGTCGGTTCATCACATTCGGCCAGAACATGGCTGGAATAGGTTTCACTCATGCTCCCTGTCCCTTCTTGCTATCACCGCGTGTAGTGAGTCGACTCAAAACCGCGTGTAGTGAGTCGAGTCGAGTTTCGAGTCGACTCAAAACTCGACTCACTACACGCGGCTGTCGGTGCATCACATTCGGCCAGAACATGGCTGGAATTAGGGATGAGCAAGTGGCGAACACGAACGTGTTCGTGTTCGCCCCTACACGAACACCTTCGTTTGCCGAACCGAACACTGTTCGGTTCGGCGAACACTTTGAGCAAAAAATGGTGTTCGCCGTTCGCCTGTGAAGGCGTGTTCGGGCGAACCTCGAACACTGTTCGTGTTCGTCGCGGGCAAATTGCAGCAGCGGCCCGAACACGAATGTGTTCGGGCGAACATCGAACACTGCTCGGCGAACATTTTAAGCCAAAAAAAAATACCTGTTCGGTTCGCCTCGAACATGTTCGAGGCGAACCAAACAGGTGTTCGTTTTTTTGCTCAACCCTAGCTGGAATAGGTTTCACACATGTTCCCTGTCCCTTCTTGCTATCACCGCGTGTAGTGAGTCGACTCCAAACCGCGTGTAGTGAGTCGAGTTTTGAGTCGACTCAAAAGGAAAGGCCTTCTTAGGGTCGTTGGGCCAGGAAAGGCCTTCTTAGGGTCGTTGGGCCAGGGAAGGCCTTCTTAGGGTCGTTGGGCCAGGGAAGGCCTTCTTAGGGTCGTTGGGCCAGGGAAGGCCTTCTTAGGGTCGTTGGGCCAGGGAAGGCCTTCTTAGGGTCGTTGGGCCAGGGAAGGCCTTCTTAGGGTCGTTGGGCCAGGAAAGGCCTTCTTAGGGTCGTTGGGCCAGGGAAGGCCTTCTTAGGGTCGTTGGGCCAGGAAAGGCCTTCTTAGGGTCGTTGGGCCAGGGAAGGCCTTCTTAGGGTCGTTGGGCCAGGGAAGGCCTTCTTAGGGTCGTTGGGCCAGGGAAGGCCTTCTTAGGGTCGTTGGGCCAGGGAAGGCCTTCTTAGGGTCGTTGGGCCAGGGAAGGCCTTCTTAGGGTCGTTGGGCCAGGGAAGGCCTTCTTAGGGTCGTTGGGCCAGGGAAGGCCTTCTTAGGGTCGTTGGGCCAGGGAAGGCCTTCTTAGGGTCGTTGGGCCAGGGAAGGCCTTCTTAGGGTCGTTGGGCCAGGGAAGGCCTTCTTAGGGTCGTTGGGCCAGGGAAGGCCTTCTTAGGGTCGTTGGGCCAGGGAAGGCCTTCTTAGGGTCGTTGGGCCAGGGAAGGCCTTCTTAGGGTCGTTGGGCCAGGGAAGGCCTTCTTAGGGTCGTTGGGCCAGGGAAGGCCTTCTTAGGGTCGTTGGGCCAGGGAAGGCCTTCTTAGGGTCGTTGGGCCAGGGAAGGCCTTCTTAGGGTCGTTGGGCCAGGGAAGGCCTTCTTAGGGTCGTTGGGCCAGGGAAGGCCTTCTTAGGGTCGTTGGGCCAGGGAAGGCCTTCTTAGGGTCGTTGGGCCAGGAAAGGCCTTCTTAGGGTCGTTGGGCCAGGGAAGGCCTTCTTAGGGTCGTTGGGCCAGGGAAGGCCTTCTTAGGGTCGTTGGGCCAGGGAAGGCCTTCTTAGGGTCGTTGGGCCAGGGAAGGCCTTCTTAGGGTCGTTGGGCCAGGGAAGGCCTTCTTAGGGTCGTTGGGCCAGGGAAGGCCTTCTTAGGGTCGTTGGGCCAGGAAAGGCCTTCTTAGGGTCGTTGGGCCAGGGAAGGCCTTCTTAGGGTCGTTGGGCCAGGGAAGGCCTTCTTAGGGTCGTTGGGCCAGGGAAGGCCTTCTTAGGGTCGTTGGGCCAGGGAAGGCCTTCTTAGGGTCGTTGGGCCAGGGAAGGCCTTCTTAGGGTCGTTGGGCCAGGGAAGGCCTTCTTAGGGTCGTTGGGCCAGGGAAGGCCTTCTTAGGGTCGTTGGGCCAGGGAAGGCCTTCTTAGGGTCGTTGGGCCAGGGAAGGCCTTCTTAGGGTCGTTGGGCCAGGGAAGGCCTTCTTAGGGTCGTTGGGCCAGGGAAGGCCTTCTTAGGGTCGTTGGGCCAGGGAAGGCCTTCTTAGGGTCGTTGGGCCAGGGAAGGCCTTCTTAGGGTCGTTGGGCCAGGGAAGGCCTTCTTAGGGTCGTTGGGCCAGGGAAGGCCTTCTTAGGGTCGTTGGGCCAGGGAAGGCCTTCTTAGGGTCGTTGGGCCAGGGAAGGCCTTCTTAGGGTCGTTGGGCCAGGGAAGGCCTTCTTAGGGTCGTTGGGCCAGGGAAGGCCTTCTTAGGGTCGTTGGGCCAGGGAAGGCCTTCTTAGGGTCGTTGGGCCAGGGAAGGCCTTCTTAGGGTCGTTGGGCCAGGGAAGGCCTTCTTAGGGTCGTTGGGCCAGGGAAGGCCTTCTTAGGGTCGTTGGGCCAGGGAAGGCCTTCTTAGGGTCGTTGGGCCAGGGAAGGCCTTCTTAGGGTCGTTGGGCCAGGGAAGGCCTTCTTAGGGTCGTTGGGCCAGGGAAGGCCTTCTTAGGGTCGTTGGGCCAGGGAAGGCCTTCTTAGGGTCGTTGGGCCAGGGAAGGCCTTCTTAGGGTCGTTGGGCCAGGGAAGGCCTTCTTAGGGTCGTTGGGCCAGGGAAGGCCTTCTTAGGGTCGTTGGGCCAGGGAAGGCCTTCTTAGGGTCGTTGGGCCAGGGAAGGCCTTCTTAGGGTCGTTGGGCCAGGGAAGGCCTTCTTAGGGTCGTTGGGCCAGGGAAGGCCTTCTTAGGGTCGTTGGGCCAGGGAAGGCCTTCTTAGGGTCGTTGGGCCAGGGAAGGCCTTCTTAGGGTCGTTGGGCCAGGGAAGGCCTTCTTAGGGTCGTTGGGCCAGGGAAGGCCTTCTTAGGGTCGTTGGGCCAGGGAAGGCCTTCTTAGGGTCGTTGGGCCAGGGAAGGCCTTCTTAGGGTCGTTGGGCCAGGGAAGGCCTTCTTAGGGTCGTTGGGCCAGGGAAGGCCTTCTTAGGGTCGTTGGGCCAGGGAAGGCCTTCTTAGGGTAGGGTCGTTGGGCCAGGGAAGGCCTTCTTAGGGTCGTTGGGCCAGGGAAGGCCTTCTTAGGGTCGTTGGGCCAGGGAAGGCCTTCTTAGGGTCGTTGGGCCAGGGAAGGCCTTCTTAGGGTCGTTGGGCCAGGGAAGGCCTTCTTAGGGTCGTTGGGCCAGGGAAGGCCTTCTTAGGGTCGTTGGGCCAGGGAAGGCCTTCTTAGGGTCGTTGGGCCAGGGAAGGCCTTCTTAGGGTCGTTGGGCCAGGGAAGGCCTTCTTAGGGTCGTTGGGCCAGGGAAGGCCTTCTTAGGGTCGTTGGGCCAGGGAAGGCCTTCTTAGGGTCGTTGGGCCAGGGAAGGCCTTCTTAGGGTCGTTGGGCCAGGGAAGGCCTTCTTAGGGTCGTTGGGCCAGGGAAGGCCTTCTTAGGGTCGTTGGGCCAGGGAAGGCCTTCTTAGGGTCGTTGGGCCAGGGAAGGCCTTCTTAGGGTCGTTGGGCCAGGGAAGGCCTTCTTAGGGTCGTTGGGCCAGGGAAGGCCTTCTTAGGGTCGTTGGGCCAGGGAAGGCCTTCTTAGGGTCGTTGGGCCAGGGAAGGCCTTCTTAGGGTCGTTGGGCCAGGGAAGGCCTTCTTAGGGTCGTTGGGCCAGGGAAGGCCTTCTTAGGGTCGTTGGGCCAGGGAAGGCCTTCTTAGGGTCGTTGGGCCAGGGAAGGCCTTCTTAGGGTCGTTGGGCCAGGAAAGGCCTTCTTAGGGTCGTTGGGCCAGGGAAGGCCTTCTTAGGGTCGTTGGGCCAGGGAAGGCCTTCTTAGGGTCGTTGGGCCAGGGAAGGCCTTCTTAGGGTCGTTGGGCCAGGGAAGGCCTTCATGGAACAAACATGGCACAAACATGGAACAAACATGGCACAAACATGGAACAAACATGGAACAAACATGGCACAAACATGGAACAAACATGGCACAAACATGGAACAAACATGGAACAAACATGGCACAAACATGGCACAAACATGGCACAAACATGGAACAAACATGGCACAAACATGGAACAAACATGGCACAAACATGGAACAAACATGGAACAAACATGGCACAAACATGGCACAAACATGGAACAAACATGGCACAAACATGGCACAAACATGGCACAAACATGGCACAAACATGGCACAAACATGGCACAAACATGGCACAAACATGGCACAAACATGGCACAAACATGGCACAAACATGGCACAAACATGGCACAAGCATGGCACAAACATGGCACAAACATGGCAATGGCTAGGTTTGTTGTCTGGAGAGCTTCTCCCTATCCACTCCACCACTCTCGCCCACATTTTTGAGACGTCTCAAAAGCTGTCGCTGTATCCCATTCGGCCAGAACAAAGCGTGTTTTTTGAGAATTCTCAAAACGTGTTTTTTGAGAATTCTCAAAAAACACGCTCTGCAACACATTTCCCTCCCACGTATGTTAGTGTGTTGGCGTTTACCAAAGAGGGTACGCAACCTCTTGGTGAAAGCGAGGTTTCAGAAACGGGGATACACCAACCCCGTGAGTTGATGGGATTGAATTCGTCCCACCAACCTGCATGTTTGCTTGACATTGTAAATGTTGTACAGCCAGCTAGCGAGCCGCGATGACGAGCCGCACTGGATCTCTTGTTTCTTGGTTGAGTGCTGGGCACGGTAGATGGGAGTAGATAAGGAGTAGTTTCTTTCATGTAACTCTGAGAGCGCTGATGAAGGCCACCGGCCGAAACGCGCGTACGCTCAGGTTTGAATGACAATTTCTTACCTATTCATTCCCTACTAGCCTAAGCTCAGCCTAGAGGAGATTAGGAAGAGATTAGGACGAGTTACCTGTTGGATCCAGGTCGAAACTGTTTTTCTGAACAAACATGGCAATGGCTGGGCTCGTTGTCTGGAGAGCCTCTCCCTATCTACCACTCTCGCCCATATTTTCTTTCCTGTCATTCCATCACCGTGCCATCCCACCCCTCCCTCTCTCACAGCTGTCCATGCATCACATTCGGCCAGAACATGGCCATGGCTGGTTTCAGCAGCTGTGATGGCCCTCAAGGCTCATGTATACCACTCTCTCTCCCTACCCTCTCCCTCTTATGTGCCATCTCACCCCTCCCTCTCTCACAGCTGTCCATGCATCACATTCGGGCAGAACATGGCCATGGCTGGGTTCGGCAGCTGTGCCCCCCAGGTACGCCGGGTACCCCAGGTGAGCTCTTCCAGGTGAGCTCTTCCAGGTGTGCAAAAGATTAGTTTTGAGAATTCTCAAAACTAATCCCAGGTGAGCTCTTACAGGTATGCAAAAGCGCCATCACAGGTTTGCTTTTGAGTCGACTCAAAAGCTGTGCCCCCCAGGACGCCAGGTATTCCAGGTGAGCTCTTACAGGTATGCAAAAGCCATACACAGATAGCAGAATGTGTCATGTGAGCTCTTCCAGGTGAGCTCTTACAGGTATGCAAAAGCGCCCTTACAGGTTTGGCAAAGCATTCTTAGAGGTGTGGTGAGGTGACTTTTGAGTCGACTCAAAAATGGCCCCCAGGTACGCCAAAGAGCTCTTACAGGTATGCAAAAGTGCCATTACAGGTTTGGCAAAGCATTCTTAGAGGTGTGGTGAGGTGACTTTTGAGTCGACTCAAAAATGCCCCCCAGGTACGCCAAAGAGCTCTTACAGGTATGCAAAAGTGCCATTACAGGTTTGGCAAAGCATTCTTAGAGGTGTGGTGAGGTGACTTTTTAGTCGACTCAAAAATGGCCCCCAGGTACGCCAAAGAGCTCTTACAGGTATGCAAAAGTGCCATTACAGGTTTGGCAAAGCATTCTTAGAGGTGTGGTGAGGTGACTTTTGAGTCAACTCAAAAATGCCCCCCAGGTACGCCAAAGAGCTCTTACAGGTATGCAAAAGTGCCATTACAGGTTTGGCAAAGCATTCTTAGAGGTGTGGTGAGGTGAGCGCAACGCATGGATAGCACAGGATGTGTCGTGTGGATTCAATCGCCTTCTGGCGCCTTTTGAGGCGTCTCAAAAGCCATGCACAGATAGCAGAATGTGTCATGTTCTCCGAATTGTCTTTTGATGCCCCTCAGTTTGCCCAGAGCACCTTGGTCAAGAGCACATTTACAATACTCCCTCGCAACCCCCGCCTTACCCTTGCTTCCCATACCCGCCACGATCTCGTCTTCTGTCCTCTTTCCTGAGGAGCAACTTTTGAGGCGCCTCAAAAGCCGAATCCTGTTTGCAACTTTTGCTTCCCATACCCGCCACGATCTCGTCTTCTGTCCTCTTTCCTGAGGAGCAACTTTTGAGGCGCCTCAAAAGCCGAATCCTGTTTGCAACTTTTGCTTCCCATACCCGCCACGATCTCGTCTTCTGTCCTCTTTCCTGAGGAGCAACTTTTGAGGCGCCTCAAAAGCCGAATCCTGTTTGCAACTTTTGCTTCCCATACCTGCCACGATCTCGTCTTCTGTTGTCTTTCCTGAGGAGCAACTTTTAAGGTGCCTCAAAAGTCGAATCTTCTACCTGCCATGATCTCATCTTCCCTCCTCTTTCCTGGGGAGCATACTTCATATCTGAGGGGCCTCAAAACTCCTCTTCTGTCCTCTTTCCACGAGAGCATGCTCCTCGAGGAAAGAGGGACAGAAGAGGAGCATGCTCCTCGAACATGCTTCATATTTGAGGAGCATGCTCTATTTTCAGCTCCTTCTTCCTGCTGTATGCTCCTAAAACGTCGTTGTTATTATTGTGCTCCCTTGTAATCTTCTCTCTTCCCCCTGACCTCTCTGCTTCTCTCATCCCCCAGGCCCTCATCTACTGTGCTCTCACCTGGGGGGCATGCTCCTGCGCGCAGCTCACAGCCCTCTGCTCTTCTTTGAATCTCTATCTCATCCCTCAGGCTCTGTACTCTCATCTCATCTCTTCTCCCTGACCTCCCTCTCTTCCCCCAGGCCCTCATCTACTGTGCTCTCACCTGGGGGGCATGCTCCTGCGCGCAGCTCACAGCCCTCTGCTCCACTCCTCAAGTTTCCATCCCCTCTTTCCCCCGCACTCCAGGAAAGAGGGTCTGGAGGGCATGAGCTGCTTTTGTCCTCCAGGCCCTCTTCTACTGCTCTCTCACCTCGGAAGCACGCTCATGCGCGCAGAAGAATAGCCACGTGATTGAAGAAGTGTTTTGAGACGTCTCAAAACACTTCTACTGCTCTCTCGGCTGGGAAGCACGCTCATGCATGCACCTCAAATCCCTCTGCTCTTTTCAGAATCTTCATCTCATCCCTCGGATTTTCCTCCTCTCTTCTCTCCCTTATCTCCCTGCGCCCCTTGTCCCCCAGGCCCTCATCTACTGTGCTCTCACATGGGGAGCATGCTCCAGCGCGCAGCTCATAGCCCTCTGCTCCACGCTCGACTTCGTCACTCCTTGAGTTGTGTTGTGTTCCTCCTTTCCCCTGCTTTCCTTGCCTCTCTCTTCCCGCAACCTCTCTGCTCCTCTCATCCCCCAGGCCCTCATTTACTGTGCTCTCACATGGGGAGCATGCTCCTGCGCGCAGCTCATAGCCCTCTGCTCCACGCTCGACTTCTTCTCATCCCTCGGCATCCTTCTCTACTGCCTCGGCACCTCTTACCCCGCGCGCTTCCGCACGCAGTCACGCCGGCGATTCAACATCCAGGTGAGCGCCAGCAAGTGAGTCTTGCCTCGAGAATCGATTTGGCACTTGGGGTGGGTGGGGAGCATCCGAGCGGTGCTTTTGAGTCTGCTCAAAAGGCATGCGGGGGTAGCATGTTCCATGCTCCTGCGCGCAGCTCATAGCCCTCTGCTCCACTCTTGACTTCTTCTCATCCCTCGGCATCCTTCTCTACTGCCTCGGCACCTCTTACCCCGCGCGCTTCCGCACTCAGACACGCCGGTGATTCAACATTCAGGTGAGTCGAGTTTTTTTAGTCGACTCAAAACTCCTCCTCTACAGCCTCTGAACCTCTTGTTTCGCGCGCTTTCGCACACAGACATGCCAACGCTTCAACATCCAGGTGGGTACGTGTAGTGAGGTTGTTTTTGAGGCGTCTCAAAAACAACCTCGCTAAACGTGGCTTTCGCACACAGACACGCCGACGCTTCAACATCCAGGTGGGTGGGCATGGTTCAACCTACCCTTTCCATGCTCCTCCCTTGCTTCTCCCCTCCTCCTTCCTCTCACCAATGCCATCAGTTATAGCCTTCCGTGCCCCTTCCTTTCACCCATGTCTTAGTATTCAGGTCGGTTTTAGCGAGGTGACTTTGTTGACTCATAAGTCACCTCTCACCCATGTCATAGTATTCAGGTCGGTTTTAGCGCATCTGCACTTGAACGTGCCAACGCTTTGGTATTCAGGTCATTGGGCTGGCAAGCAGGCAAGCTGGCGAGCAGGCAAGCAGGCGAGCAGGCAAGCTGGCGAGCAGGCAAGCTGGCGAGCAGGCAAGCTGGCGAGCAGGCAAGCAGGCGAGCAGGCAAGCAGGCGAGCAGGCAAGCAGGCGAGCAGGCAAGCAGGCGAGCAGGAAAGCAGGCGAGCAGGCAAGCAGGCAAACAGGCTAGCAAGCGAGCAGGAAAGCAGGCGAGCAGGCAAGCAGGCAAACAGGCTAGCAGGCGAGCAGGAAAGCAGGCAAGCAGGCAAACAGGCTAGCAGGCGAGCAGGAAAGCAGGCGAGCAGGCAAGCAGGCAAACAGGCTAGCAGGCGAGCAGGAAAGCAGGCGAGCAGGCAAGCAGGCAAACAGGCTAGCAGGCGAGCAGGAAAGCAGGCGAGCAGGCAAGCAGGCAAACAGGCTAGCAGGCGAGCAGGAAAGCAGGCGAGCAGGCAAGCAGGCAAACAGGCTAGCAGGCGAGCAGGAAAGCAGGCAAGCAGGCAAACAGGCTAGCAGGCGAGCAGGAAAGCAGGCGAGCAGGCAAGCAGGCAAACAGGCTAGCAGGCGAGCAGGAAAGCAGGCGAGCAGGCAAGCAGGCAAACAGGCTAGCAGGCAAGCAGGCGAGGCAAGGCGCAGTGTGATGTGCTTGCATCTCACATCCTGGCTGCAGTAAAAGGCTCACCTCGTGTGCAAGCATGGCAAAAGCAGGATGCAGGATCATTTGGCATGATGGGAAGAGCATGAACATGAACACTTCTTGTCCTCTTGTTTCCACCATGGAAAGAGCATGTGGTTAAACACTGTAATCTCTGCATAAACATGCTTGACCCTATATCCCCTCCCCCTCCTCGGTGACCTCTCCCTTTCACTGTCCCTCTCCCTCACTTTCTCGCTCTATTCACCTGACCATGCACGGCATGCATGGTGATGAAGTATCGGATTGCACCTATCAGGTTTGATTTTTTTTTTTTTCAAAAAGTATCGCTCTCAATTTTCCCAACACAACCATGCAGGGCGATGAGGCAACAGATTGCATCTATCACGCCTGTTGCTCCTGCTGCGCGCTCTGCCAGGTACGTCTGAGGCATGATTCTGGGGCTGCTTGTAACAAGTACAAGCAGGCAGTACGTTGCGTGACAGAATAGGATGCAAGGCCAAAATCCGTTCTCATTGGTTGATTACGCCGTCCTTCCCTAATCTGTTGTGCTCTTTGGTGTTTCTCACTTACTTTCTTTTCTTGCGTGTTCCAACTCACATTTGGCTAAAAAACAGGAGGCACGTACGCTACGGATAAATAATGTGCGGAGAGGCATGTGGGGAGGGAGGGGGCACATGGTGAACGTGGCGCCAAACACCAAATCGCTCATGCTGGTTCCTCCACTCCCATTTCATATGACGGCCATGCCTTCGCCTCCCAATTCCCCTGCCACTTCACCCTCAAGCTCTAGTAGAGCCCCACTCTTTACTTCAGCCCCCTCTTAATGCGTGCCTACTATCATTGTGTGCCTTGTTTCACACCTAATGACTAATAGTGGAGGCATTTCACCCTATTGGCAGCATTTTGACTCCTGATACTGATTGTTATCATCAATATAGTATAATGTATTTTCTTGTAGGAATGATAAATAACTGCAATCCAATAAGATTCATCCCTATGGTCAAGATTTCCCCGCTCCACTTTTCGCCCGCAGCCATTCCCCTTTCCGTGGCGGAGCGCACGCCTCCGCCCCTAATTCGTTCCCGCCCCGCCCTCACTCCAAAGAATCTGCTTTCCGCGCGTTACTGTACCACCTATTGCCTCGTTCGTGAATATAGTGACCGAAGCGCCAAGCTCCCCTGGTTTCCAGCCAAACAACCTCGAGGGAGCCAGGTTCGGCTGGCATCAGTCATCAGCAGTTTGATTCCAGTCAGACAAGCAGACAGAAATGGGTCCTCAGGTTTCTGTTCCGTCAGGCTGCTGTTGCTAGACTGACGACAACCCCATTCAGATGACCTACCGTTGGGAGATCAAAGCACCGAGAGCTAACGTATGATACCGTAATTGAATGTTTACGAGTCGTATTCCATCCAGTGTAATGACATTTTAATCAAACATGACATTCCCTTGGTACGCACCGCCCCCTTGAGCGGTTCAGCGACCAGGCCTTGTATCGAGCTGGGTTAATACCCAGATACCGCATCGAGGAGTAAAAGAACCGCATCTGAAAGTTCATTAACCACTTTTTCTAGCTCGCCACCGAACTGTACCATTCAAGTGACTGTTGGTTGACCTGATTTTTGCAAACACGCGATACACACCCTTAGTCTGTTTCTCCTGCAGCTGTAGTCGCACTGCGCCTCTAGTTTCTCCTAAAACGGTATTGATCGCACTTCGTTGACTGCATTTCCCAGCCCGTTGGTTCGCTCGCTTCTTTGTCCGTGCTTGGATCAGGGATTTTGGTCCGTCGACCAAGCTGAAGTTTCCACAGTGCGATTGGGTCATGTGATTAGGTCGTGCGACTAAGTAGTGCGATCGTGTCGTGCGACGTTCTCTGCGAGTGCGCGACCCGATTGATGCAATTCAGCTGGTGACGCCTTTCCTGTATCCCCCCTTAGTCGCAAGCATGCGCGATATCAAGTGCAGAATGTCGTAGGTTCAGTATTCTGCAGCCGTAGTCTCTACTGTTTTCATTCACCTGTCTTTCCAGTTTAAAGCTCTCGCAGTTACCGTGTCGCGCTACCGTCCAACCGTGTTACCGTGCGTACCTGATTAACAAGACGTCTTGTGGCATCTTAAAGGAAACGAAACTCTGAACCAGCCGTTACTTATCAGTTTAAAGCTTTCCGTTTGCCTGATCGCTGTTTTCTTAGTTCCTACCCTTAGTTCTTAATCAGCAGAAGTAACTCTCGTTCTTATAGCACTCGCACGTCAGTATATAACGGGGATGACGGAAGAATATAACCATCACATGGACGGAAAGCGGGACGACGACGGCGGGGCTGTAGAGTATAGCGAAGACCTCCGTGACGGGGATGGCGATCCCGGGGAGGACGGGTACGACGATGACGGGTCTGGCGAGCCTTTCGAGCCGGAAATTGTGGGAGTTCCGACGTATGACGGGGCGTACACGCAGTATAACATTTACGGAAATATGTTCGAGGTTACTGCAAAGTATGTGCCGCCTATTCGGCCAATCGGACGTGGAGCCTACGGAATTGTGTGGTAAGTGCTCTTTGCCTTCTGACATGACACAAAAACAATAAAACAAAGGTTTTTTTTTTGGGATTGGGATTGGTTGAGTGGTTCGTTCTGAACGTTCGTGTACTGCCTGATATATGGCCGACTTTCCTTATCTCTCGCCAGTTCTCGTCCCCGTTCATGCACCAGCCTCATCCCATTCCTATTCTTGGTTCTCATCTCCTTGCAGTGCTTCATTATTCTCCCTAGCCTCCTCTTTTCGTGCTCCATTTGTGTGTGTTTTTTTTTTGCGCTTTTCTTTGGACCCCCTTTATTTTTCCGTCAATTGCTTGCCATGCCACCCTTCCCGTGTGTTTGCAGTTCGGCCATCAACTCGGAGACTCAGGAGGAGGTGGCGATCAAGAAGATCGCCAATGCCTTCGACAACCGGATCGACGCCAAGAGAACGCTTAGGGAAATCAAGCTGCTGCGACACATGGACCACGAGAACGTGAGTCTCTCTGCCTGAATCACTGACGCGGGGAACGTGAGTCTCTGCCTGACACTTGGACCATGATACCGTGAGTCTCCGCTTGTGAACTCCTCTGACAACCGGATCGACGCCAAGAGAACGCTGAGGGAGATCAAGCTGCTTTGACACATGGACCACAAAAACGTGAGTCTCTTTTCCTGAATAACACGTGGGCCATGAGAATGTGAGGTGGTGTATGCATGAGCTAAGATGATGATACATGGACCTCAAACTGCTTGGTCCCCATCTGAACCACTAGAACGTGAGTCTCTTTCTGCCTCTCTGTCATGCTATCAAGATGATAGCCAACGCCTCAAACAACCGCATTGATACCACCAAGAGAACGCTGAGGGGTATCAAGGTGAGCTGGTCTCAGTGGACCATGAGAACGTGACTTGGTGTATGAATGAGCTAAGATGATCAGGGTGCTTCGGCACATGGACCACAAGAACGTTTCTGCCTGCCTGACACGTATGGCGTGGTGTGTGGTGAGTGAGTCTCTTTGTGGAGCATAGCGTGAGTCTCTGCCTGACGCCCCATGAGTGAGATTATCAAATTGAATGAGCTCAAGCCACATGGACCATAAAGCATGAGCCTGTGAGTGAGCCTGCCTGACACGTGGAGCGTGAGTCCCTGTCTTACTGACACGCGCCGTATGGCGTGGTGTGTGGTGAGTGAGTCTCTTTGTGAAGCATAGCGTGAGTCTCTGCCTGACGCCCCATGAGTGAGATTGTCAAATTGAATGAGCTAAAGCCACATGGACCATAAAGCATGAGCCTGTTAGTGAGCCTGCCTGACACGTGGAGCGGGAGTCCCTGTCGTACTGACACGCACCGTATGGCATGGTGTGTGGTGGACCATGGGAACGTGACTCTCTCTCTCTCTCGGCTGCCTACCTTCCTGCCTGTCCCTCTTTTAAGGAAGTTTCAGAACGCCTTTGATAACCAAAATGACCATATCTGCTTCCTTGAACTCTCTTTGCTCCCTCCCGCACTCCCTCCCTCCCTCCCTCCCTCCCTCCCTCCCTCCCTCCCTCCCTCCCTCCCTCCCTCCCTCCCTCCATCCTCCCATCGCCCCCCTTGTGCACGATGCATCCACACCAGGTGGTGGCTATCACGGACATCATCCCCCCGCCTGCGTGTGGCACATTCAATGGCGTGTACATCGTGCATGAGCTCATAAACGCTCGTTCAACTCTCACATCCCATCGCCCTCCCTCCCTCCCTCGATCCTCCCATCGCCCCCCTTGTGCACGATGCATCCACACCAGGTGGTGGCTATCAGGGACATCATCCCTCCTCCAGCGCGTGACACATTCAATGATGTCTACATCGTGTATGAGCTCATGGACACAGACCTGCACCAGATCATCCGGTCTAACCAGCAACTGACTGAGGATCACTGCCAGGTGTGTGTACAACACTCTGGCCCTGGGTGTACACTGTAACTGTGTTGTTCACATGTCTATATCGTGTATGAGCTCATGGACACGACCTGCACCAGATCATCCGGTCTAACCAGCAACTGACTGAGGATCACTGCCAGGTATGAAGGCCGAGAGGCGGAGACGTAGCAGGTGTAAATGGTGAAGTGTAAATCACGTGTATGGGCTCATTGACACAGACATCCATCAGATCATTCGCTCCAACCAGCAACTGACTGAGGATCACTGCCAGGTATGAAGGCCAAGAGGCGGAGACGTAGCAGGTGTAAATGGTGAAGTGTAAATCACGTGTATGGGCTCATTGACACAGACATCCATCAGATCATTCGCTCCAACCAGCAACTGACTGAGGATCATTGCCAGGTATGAAGGCCAAGAGGCGGAGACGTAGCAGGTGTAAATGGTGAAGTGTAAATCACGTGTATGGGCTCATTGACACAGACATCCATCAGATCATTCGCTCCAACCAGCAACTGACTGAGGATCACTGCCAGGTATGAAGGCCAAGAGGCGGAGACGTAGCAGGTGTAAATGGTGAAGTGTAAATCACGTGTATGGGCTCATTGACACAGACATCCATCAGATCATTCGCTCCAACTAGCAACTGACTGAGGATCACTGCCAGGTATGAAGGCCAAGAGGCGGAGACGTAGCAGGTGTAAATGGTGAAGTGTAAATCACGTGTATGGGCTCATTGACACAGACATCCATCAGATCATTCGCTCCAACCAGCAACTGACTGAGGATCACTGCCAGGTATGAAGGCCAAGAGGCGGAGACGTAACAGGTGTAAATGGTGAAGTGTAAATCACGTGTATGGGCTCATTGACACAGACATCCATCAGATCATTCGCTCCAACCAGCAACTGACTGAGGATCACTGCCAGGTATGAAGGCCAAGAGGCGGAGACGTAGCAGGTGTAAATGGTGAAGTGTAAATCACGTGTATGGGCTCATTGACACAGACATCCATCAGATCATTCGCTCCAACCAGCAACTGACTGAGGATCACTGCCAGGTATGAAGGCCAAGAGGCGGAGACATAGCAGGTGTAAATGGTGAAGTGTAAATCACGTGTATGGGCTCATTGACACAGACATCCATCAGATCATTCGCTCCAACCAGCAACTGACTGAGGATCACTGCCAGGTATGAAGGCCAAGAGGCGGAGACGTAACAGGTGTAAATGGTGAAGTGTAAATCACGTGTATGGGCTCATTGACACAGACATCCATCAGATCATTCGCTCCAACCAGCAACTGACTGAGGATCACTGCCAGGTATGAAGGCCAAGAGGCGGAGACGTAACAGGTGTAAATGGTTAAGTGTAAATCACGTGTATGGGCTCATTGACACAGACATCCATCAGATCATTCGCTCCAACCAGCAACTGACTGAGGATCACTGCCAGGTATGAAGGCCAAGAGGCGGAGACGTAACAGGTGTAAATGGTGAAGTGTAAATCACGTGTATGGGCTCATTGACACAGACATCCATCAGATCATTCGCTCCAACCAGCAACTGACTGAGGATCACTGCCAGGTATGAAGGCCAAGAGGCGGAGACGTAGCAGGTGTAAATGGTGAAGTGTAAATCACGTGTATGGGCTCATTGACACAGACATCCATCAGATCATTCGCTCCAACCAGCAACTGACTGAGGATCACTGCCAGGTATGAAGGCCAAGAGGCGGAGACATAGCAGGTGTAAATGGTGAAGTGTAAATCACGTGTATGGGCTCATTGACACAGACATCCATCAGATCATTCGCTCCAACCAGCAACTGACTGAGGATCACTGCCAGGTATGAAGGCCAAGAGGCGGAGACGTAACAGGTGTAAATGGTGAAGTGTAAATCACGTGTATGGGCTCATTGACACAGACATCCATCAGATCATTCGCTCCAACCAGCAACTGACTGAGGATCACTGCCAGGTATGAAGGCCAAGAGGCGGAGACGTAACAGGTGTAAATGGTTAAGTGTAAATCACGTGTATGGGCTCATTGACACAGACATCCATCAGATCATTCGCTCCAACCAGCAACTGACTGAGGATCACTGCCAGGTATGAAGGCCAAGAGGCGGAGACGTAACAGGTGTAAATGGTTAAGTGTAAATCACGTGTATGGGCTCATTGACACAGACATCCATCAGATCATTCGCTCCAACCAGCAACTGACTGAGGATCACTGCCAGGTATGAAGGCCAAGAGGCGGAGACGTAACAGGTGTAAATGGTGAAGTGTAAATCACGTGTATGGGCTCATTGACACAGACATCCATCAGATCATTCGCTCCAACCAGCAACTGACTGAGGATCATTGCCAGGTGAGGTGGGAAGTGTAGGCGGTGCAGTACATGTAACAGTACACACATATGTATGAATCAACGAGGTGTGAATCTTGTAAAGTGCTCTATATCCTGTGTGTATACAGTACACCTACTCCGTCCAATACCATACAGTAGTCGCTGGTGTAGCTGGCAAGGTCTCAACTCAAGTCCTCATCACCTCAACCTGCTCTCCTTACCTTGCAATCCCGCCTACCCCATGTCCATTCCACCACCCCGTACAGTACTTTTTTGAGTCGGCTCAATGTTTTGAGTCGATTCAATACTTGAGTCGACTCAAAACACGAATCCCACCTACCCCATGTCCATTCCATTCCACCACTCCCTGCAGTACTTCCTCTACCAACTGCTGACGGGCCTCAAGTATTTGCTGTGCACAGCGCCAAGGTTCTTCACCGCGACCTCAAGCCCTAGTTCTTCCTGATTCCGTTACCCCTACTGCTCCATCCATCTCCACCCATCTCCACCCATTTCCACCCATCCCCACCACTATTCCCCCCTACAGTACTTCCTCTACCAGCTACTGAGGGGCCTCAAGTACGTGCACAGCGCCAAGGTGCTTCACCGCGACCTCAAGCCCTCCAACCTGCTGCTCAACGCCAACTGCGACCTCAAGATCTGTGACTTTGGGCTCGCCAGGTGAGGGAACTCCCTCTGTCCCCTGTCACTGTCGCTGGCACTGGTCTCACTCTCACCCACCCACCCATATTCATTCAAGCCCTCCAACCTGCTGCTCAACGCCAACTGCGACCTCAAGATCTGTGACTTTGGGCTCGCCAGGTGAGGGAACTCCCTCTGTCTCCTGTCACTGTCGCTGGCACTGGTCTCACTCTCACCCACCCACCCATATTCATTCAAGCCCTCCAACCTGCTGCTCAACGCCAACTGTGACCTCAAGATCTGTGAATTTGGGCTCGCCAGGTATGTGTGTGGCAGTGGGTTAGGGAGAGTAGGGGGGGGTGGGAGAAGCGGGGTTAGGTGCTTCACCGCGACCTCAAGCCCTCCAACCTGCTGCTCAACGCCAACTGCGACCTCAAGATCTGTGACTTTGGGCTCGCCAGGTGAGACAGGGAGTGACAGGGGGGTAAAATGGGGGCTGGGTGGGGGATGGGGGCTGGGTGGGGGATGGGGGCTGTGTTTGTTGTCACTTCTTGGCGCCCTCTTTCTAACCAACACACCAGATGTGACCTCTCAAGATCTGCGACTTGGTCCTCGCCAGGTGAGGGAGAGAGTGTCCTGCACTGTCTCTGACAGGCACTGGTCTCACTCTCGCCCACGCACACTCGAGTCGAGTCGAGCTGCAGCCCTCCAACCTGCTGCCCAACACCAACTATGTTGGAGCCATTTTTTAGAATTCTAAAACATGACTCTCAAGCTCTGCGGTGCGGCTTTGGGCTGGCCAGGCGAGGGTGTGAATTGAAGGGGGTTGGGATTAGGGATGGGGGGGATTGGCAGGGTGTAGGCTTGCACCATCACACAATTTGAATCCCTCTGTCCAACTTCCAGCTGCCTCCAACGAAAAATAAGATTGGACCTTGTTCTCTTCTTGAAAGAAGGTCGGTTTTGAGACGTCTCAAAGCCAACCTTCTTTCATGTGAAAAGAAGAAAAAAAATCTAATTTCTGTCCTTGTCCTCTTCCGCCCCTAATTACAGATCGGCAGAGGAGAGTGACTACATGACAGAGTATGTGGTAACCAGATGGTACCGTGCCCCAGAGCTGCTGCTCAACAGCAAGGTGAGCACACACACCTTAGCACCGTGAGTGAGCAGTGTGAGGAGAGTGACTGCATGAGCGACTAAATGACGGATTATGAGGTAACCAGATCCAGATGGTACCGTGCCCCAGAGCTACTGCTCAACAGCAAGGTGAGGGAACAAGGGGGAAACACGTTGGCAAGATGAGTGGGCAGGGTCCGTTCGTTGGCCGTGAGTATGTGGTAACCAGATGGTACCGTGCCCCATAGCTACTGCTCAACAGCAAGGTGAGTGAGTGAGCATGGCAGGAACACTTTGGCAAGGTGAGTGGGCACTGTGAGTGGGGTTGTGAGTATGCGGTAACCAGATGGTACCGCGCTCCGGAGCTGCAGCTGAACAGCAAGATGAGCGGGTATGGCAGGAAGGGACACCTTAGCAGGGTGAGTGAGTGAGCATGGTTGGAAGGAACACATTGGCAGGGTGAGCAGGGTGGGTGAGCAGGGTGGGTGAGCAGGGTGAGTGAGCTCTGCCCCTTGACGCAATAACCAGATGGTACCGTGCCCCAGAGCTGCGGCTCAACAGCAAGGTGAGTGAGTGAGCACGGTTGGTTGGTTCGGCTTAGCAAGGCTGGTAGGCAGGCAGTGATAACCAGACCAGACCAGATGGTACCGCGCCCCAGAGCTGCTGCTAAACAGTAAGGTGAGTGAGTGAGCATGGTTGGCACGGCTGCTTAGCACGGCTGGTAGGCAGGCAGTGGTAACCAGATGGAACCGTGCCCCAGCAGAGCTGCTACTCAACTGTAAGGTGAGTGAGTTAGTGAACACGGCTGGAACACCTGAGCAGGATTTCTGAGCACTGTGAGAATTGCAGAGAGTGACTACATGAGTGAGTGCATGAGTGAGTGCATGAGTGAGTGCATGAGTAAGTGCATGAGTGAGTGAGTGAGTGAGTGCATGAGTGAGTGCGTGAGTGAGTGCATGAGTGAGTGCATGAGTGAGTGCATGAAAGTCTATGTGGTAACCAGATGGCAGATGGTACCGTGGGCCCAGAGCTGGTTCTCAACGGCAAGGTGAGCGGGCATGGCATAGAATGAACACCTTAGGGCGTATCTCAGTTCGGGTCATGAGCACTGTTCATGCTACTGTTTGGGTCATGCAGAAATTGCGCATGACCCAAAGTGGGGCTGCCGAGCCGCGCGCGGCCCCAGCTTTGGGTCAATGTGCAGGTGTTGGGCGACTGACGTGCACGACCCATCCCCAACCAATCACCTGGTTGCACGGTTCTGATTTTACTGCCATCTTTAGACGGTCGTTACTCGAGTGTCACAAGTGGGCAATGTTACCTCTGCACCCAACCACTCGGCAAATTGACCCCACTGACGTTCGATGTGTCTAAAATTTCCCGTGGCGCGCTCCCAACATTTGGGAATTCACGCCGGGAATTTTGACGATTGTTTTTTTCCGGTGGGTGTCGCGAAGTTTTGCGTGGGCGTCGCCCATGATCTTGCGAACTGTTTTGGCTTCCCGCCATTGGAGGCGATTGAGCTTTGGCGGGCGATTTTGCTTAACGACACTGCGGCGCAACACTCAGAGGGTCGCAGGAGATCGGATGACCCAAAGTGGCGTTTTTAGTTGTTTGGGGCATGCGGCAAACGCGCATGCCCCAAAGTGGCCTTATGACCCGAACTGAGATACGCCCTTAGCATGGCTGGTTGAGCCGTTGTCCTTGGCAGGGTGAGTGAGCATAGCGGTTTTAACATCTTATGGGAGCACAGGAATTCACAGCAGCCATCGGAAATACAGGCGTACACAGCAGCCATCGGAAAAACAGGCATACATAGCAGCCATCGGAAAGACAAGCGTACATAGCAGCCATCGGAAATACAGGCGTACACAGCAGTCATCGGAAATACAGGCGTACATAGCAGCCATCGGAAATACAGGCGTACACAGCAGCCATCGGAAACACAGGCGTACACAGCAGCCATCGACCTGTAGTCGGTGGGGTGCCTCTTCATGGAGCTGCTGAATCGCTTGTTGGTAACTGGTACCACTTACAGCCGTTCTCAACCGCATTCAACACCCCCTCCCCCCCCCCCCCACCAGGAGTACACTGCAGCCATCGACCTGTGGTCTGTGGGGTGCATCTTCATGGAGCTGCTGAATCGCTTGTTGGTAGCTGATGCCCCTTTGAACCATGTCTTAACCGCTCTTAGCCGCATTCAACTCCTCCTCTCCTCCCCACCACCAGGCGTACACGGCAGCCATCGACCTGTGGTCCGTGGGGTGCATCTTCATGGAGATGCTGAACCGGCTGTTCAGTACTCCAATCACTTAGTACCGCTCTCAACCGCTTTCAACCCCTCTCATTCTCCCCCCACTCCAGGCGTACACAGCAGCCATCGACCTGTGGTCAGTGGGATGCATCTTCATGGAGCTGCTGAACCGGCTGTTCAGTACTGCAATCACTTAGTACCGCTCTCAACCTCTTTCAACCCCTCTCATTCTCCCCCCACTCCAGGCGTACACGGCAGCCATCGACCTGTGGTCAGTGGGATGCATCTTCATGGAGCTGCTGAACCGGCTGTTCAGTACTGCAATCACTTAGTACCACTCTCAACCTCTTTCAACCCCTCTCATTCTCCCCCCACTCCAGGCGTACACGGCAGCCATCGACCTGTGGTCCGTGGGATGCATCTTCATGGAGCTGCTGAATCGCGAGCCGCTGTTCCCCGGCAAGGACTATGTGGACCAGCTGCGCCTCATCACCTCCGTGAGTGCTCTTAGTGTGCATGAACCACCTGTGAAGACGCCGCAGTAGCGCACTCTCTTGCCTCGCCTCAAAGGCCCTCCACCCCTCCCTCTCCTCCCTTCCCTTCCCCTTCACCCCTTCAGATCATCGCGTCTCCATCGATCCAGACATCTCATTCGTCAAGAGTGACAACGCTCGTCGCTACGTGCATTCGCTGCCCGTCACCACACCCTTCCGAATCTTACCCATATCTTTCTCCATCCCCCTCTCCCTCTCTCCAGATCATTGGGTCCTCGGATGATTCAGACATCTTCATTCCTTGAGAATGACAATGCATGTCGCTACGTGCGCTCGCTGCCCTTCCCCACGCCCTTCCTGATCACGCCCGTATCCCCTTCCAACCCTCCCCACCACCACCCCTCCTCGTTCCCCCCTTCCCCTCTCCCTCTCTACAGATCATCGGGTCTCCAGACGATTCAGACATCTCGTTCCTCGAGAGTGATAACGCCCGTCGCTACGTGCGCTCGCTGCCCTTCACCACATTCTTTCTAAACTTGCCTGTATCAATCCCCCCCATGCAGATCATCGGGTCTCCTGATGATTCAGACATCTCGTTCCTCGAGAGTGATAACGCCCGTCGCTACGTGCGCTCGCTGCCCTTCACCACATTCTATATAAACTTGCCTGTATCAATCCCCCCCATCCAGATCATCGGGTCTCCAGACGATTCAGACATCTCGTTCCTCGAGAGTGACAACGCGCGCCGCTACGTGCGCTCGCTGCCCTTTGTGCGCAAGCAGCCCCTCGCCGCGCGCTTCCCCAACATGGCGCCCCTTGCTCTGGATCTGATGGAGCGGATGCTGCTCTTCGACCCCGCCAAGCGCATCACAGGTGGGCCAGGATGGGTGGATGGGTGGGTGGGTTGGTGGGTGAATGAATGGGTGGGGTGTATGGGGCTGATTACTGCATTCCCCAACATGGCACCCCTGGCGTTGGACCTCATGGAGCGGATGCTGCTCTTTGACCCTGCCAAGCGCATCACAGGTGGGCCAGGGTGGGCAGGTGGGTGGGTGGGTGGGTGAATGAATGGGTGGGGTGTATGGGGCTGATTACTACATTCCCCAACATGGCACCCCTGGCGTTGGACCTCATGGAGCGGATGCTGCTCTTTGACCCTGCCAAGCGCATCACAGGTGGGCCAGGGTGGGCAGGTGGGTGGGTGGGTGGGTGAATGAATGGGTGGGGTGAATGGGGCTGATTACTGCATTCCCCAACATGGCGCCCCTGGCGTTGGACCTCATGGAGCGGATGCTGCTCTTTGACCCTGCCAAGCGCATCACAGGTGGGCCAGGGTGGGCAGGTGGGTGGGTGGGTGGGTGGCTGGCTGGCTGGCTGGGTGGGCAGGTGGGTGAATGAATGGGTGGGGTGTATGGGGCTGATTACTGCATTCCCCAACATGGCACCCCTGGCGTTGGACCTCATGGAGCGGATGCTGCTCTTTGACCCTGCCAAGCGCATCACAGGTGGGTGTGCTGACAAGACGTGCTGTATGGGAATGTGGGTGTAAGTGTGAGGGTGCGCTCCCCCCTCCCATCTGAGCGCAAGCAGCCCCTCACCGCTTGCTTCCCCAGCATGGCTCCTCTCTCTGGATCTCATGGAACGGATGCTGCTGTTTGATCCCGCCAAGCGCATCACAGGTGGGTGTATGCGCACCTGTGGGTTTGTATGGCCCTCAGTTGGTCCATGCTGATCACTGCATTCCCCAGCATGGCTCCTCTCTCTGGATCTCATGGAACGGATGCTGCTGTTTGATCCTGCCAAGCGCATCACAGGAGGGTGTGCTGACAAGATGTGCTGTATGGGAAAGGGGGTGTGAGTGTGAGTGTGAGTGTGAGTGTGGGTGTGTGCTCACTCCCCTTTGTGCGCAAGCAGCCCCTCGCATTGCACTACCCCAACATGGCTCCCCTGGCATTGGACCTGATGGAACGGATGCTGCTGTTTGATCCTGCCAATTTGAGAGTTCTCGAAATGCTGAATCTGTTTTGTGAGGATTCTAAAAAACTGAGGGGGGTAGAGAAGGATGCATGGCACACTGAGTCTGTTTTTGAGTCGATTCAAAAACCAACTCATCACACTAGGAGAGTAGAGAAGGATGCATGGCACACTGGGTCTGGACCATCCCTACTGGGTTGTTCCTGCTGTCATGAAGACTCACAAGATAGAGTGGTCCATCTCTCTTCGACTGGCGTGGAAACGAATGGAGCAGAGGGGGAAGGGAAGAGCGAACGGCACGGGCTCTCGTCGCTAGCATAGGTGCTTGTGCACAAAGCAAGTTGATTTTTGAGTCGACTCAAAAATCATCTCGTCGCTAGCATAGGTGCTTGCTTGTGCACAAAGCAGAGCAGAAGCGACTTTTGAGTTGAGGTGACTTTTGAGTCGAGGTGACTTTTGAGTCGAGGTGACTTTTGAGTCGAGGTGACTTTTGAGTTGAGGTGACTTTTGAGTCGACTCAAAAAGTCACCTGGTTCTCGTCGCTAGCATAGGTGCTTGTGCACAAAGCGGAGCAGAAGCACACACTTACATCAGCGACCACATATCCGCGCACTCCCCCATTCACACTCACTCTCACGCTCACGCTCACCCCCACTCCCAATCCAATCCAATAGAACGCATATTTACCCACCTGTGGTGCGGGAACAACCCAGTGTGCCATGCATCCTTCTCTACTCCCCCCTACCCGATATCTTGCCCTCACTCTTCTCCCTCCCCATTCTTCCCCATCTGCCCATTCTTCCCCATCTGCCCATTCTTCCCCATCTGCCCATTCATCTCCAACCGAGGAGGGTCTAGGCCTCTTCTACCTGGCAAGTCTGCATGACATCAGCGTCGAGGCAGTGTGCCATGCGCCCTTCTCTATCCCCCTCTACCCCACTTCTCGCTGTCGCTCTTCTCATTCCCCATTTCTTTCCCATCGCTCCCATGCACTTCCCGTGGAGGAGAGTCTAGACCATCCCTACTTGGCGAGTCTGCATGACACCAGCAACAAGGCAGTGCGCCATGCGCCCTTCTCTCTTCCGTTCACTATCCCAACCTCTCCCTCACTTTCGCATCTGGTCCCTATTCTTCCTCATCTGCCTCATTCACCTCCAGTCAAAGTCCACCATTCCTGGCGAGTCTGCATGAGACCAGTGCCTTATTAGTTTCCGTATCCAACCCCTCCATTATTCTCCGTTCCCCTTTCTCTCTTTCTCTCTGTCTCTCCCCTCTCTGTGGAGGAGAGTCTAGACCATTCGTACCTGGCGAGTCTGCACGACATCAGCGATGAGCCGGTGTGCCATGCTCCCTTCTCTCCCCTTCACTAATCCGGCCCTCTCTCGCTCTCTTCCTATCCGCATTCTTCCCAATCTCTTTCTCCCATTCATTTCCAGTGGAGGAGAGTCTAGACCACCCATATCTCGCAAGTCTGCACGACATCAGCGACGAGCCGGTGTGCCATGCGCCATTCACATTTGACTTTGAGCACCCGGTGCTGCCAGAAGAAACCATCAAGGACTTGATATGGGCCGAAGCGAGGTCGCTCAACCGCGACTTCTGAAGGGGAGGAGAGAGTGGGAGGGGAATGGAGAGGGGAGGCAGAGGGGAGGGGGAGGGGAGGATGGAGGGGAGGGAGGGGGAGGGAGAGGCTACACCAACCGTACCTGGCGACTTCTAAGCGGGTGGAAGTGATGGGGTCATGGGATGGGTAAGAACCGTTTGTGAGCTACTGTGGCGAAACTCCCGTCTTGTAAAGTTATGATTTTCCTGATTTATCTGGAGGGAAATTGAGTTCAACTAAAGGGGAGGTGAGGTCACTTGATCGTGACTTCTGAGGGGAATGGGTACGGATCTGGCCTTTAGGTTGGTTTCGGGTAGACTGAAAGAGAACAGGGGTGCAACTATCTTGAATATCATTGGCATAATTTGTGAAAGCCACATTTTTTTGGTAGAATTTATGGCTGCTTCTGCTGAACCACAACTGATGTACAAATTAATGCAAATGAATGCAGAAGTGATTTAAAAACGACATAGCGTCGTAAGTCTAATAACGAGGACCTCAATCTGAGCTCAGTAGCACCTTTCATCTGCTGATGTCAGAACTTTTCCGCACCGTCAGATGGGCTTCTGTACAATTCCAATCTACTCAACGGTCGAGATTGTGCGAGGCAGGTTGAGCGACATTCTAAACTGAAGCACGCGAAGCCCAGTTCAGTGAGTCGAACCGCAACGGTCTCTCCAGTTCAGCCGGTCGCGACGCGAGCGAGTCCTAGGCGGCAGTAGTCCGAACGGAATCCATCGGTTTAGAATCGCAACGCATTTCTCCTTGGCGTTGTCACGCTCACCCACGCTGTTAGGGTTAACGGTTGCCGGTTAGTCCTAACGATTTCTAAATGATGTCAGTCAGGAAAACGTCGGCATTGATGCCGCTCCTACCAATAGCACACGCGCTTTGCAGATACGTTTGGCCGTTTATTCTACCCGTCGCTTCGTGAGCGTCATCGGGCGTACATGGCACCTGGTTTGCCGAAACGAGCCATTGGTCCTAGGGCCGTTAGTCGTACTTCCTCACGCTAGCTTTAAAATCTATTCCTTGGCAATCTAGTAGCGACATGAGGTAGGTGGTACGTCCAGTTGCTTCATCATTGTCTTACCCTTTGAGAATAAGGCGCCATTCCGCACCGCGTTAGTTTGCCAGCAGCTCCGCGGGTTGACACGAACGGCCGCCAAGAGTATCAGATGCTTGAATTGTTCTGAGTTTCAGTCCACTCAAGACACAACTGGGTTGAGACGAGCACAAGGTCCTTGAACGGGGAACGGGACATTCGCCAGCGTTCATAAAGAAAGAACACTCGTCAGTTTTTTTTTTTTTTTTTTTTTTTTTTTTTTTTTTCAAATCGTTCATCAAGCCTCCCTAACATTTCTCGTCAACGCTCGCTCGTCCAACGGCTTTTGAGTCGACTCAAAAAACAAGACTCGGTCTCCAACGGCTCCTATGGCCGCCGCCGGATCGAACGGAGACAGTACCGGAATGATCGCCACCTTTAATGACCTAAGCAGTCATAAAGCGAGTAATGGCGCCGCAGTAGGAGCCAATGGTGGAACACAGGGGGGAGACGGAGCAGCAGCTGCAGCGGCGGCGGCAGCAGCAGCAGATGATTCGGGAGCAGTGGGAAATGGGTCGGTAACTGAGAGTTTGGCGGGAAATGAAGGAACCAATGAAGCAGTGACACGTGGCTCAGGGGCAAGAAACGGAGGACAAGCAGAGAGTGGGGGAGCAGCAGCAATTGGAGGAGCCAATGGAGCAGCAGGGACAGGTGGCGCACCGCGATTGGCTCTCTCGGCTCGGGACTTCACATATGGGCGGCTCCTGGGTCTTGGCTCCTACTCCAAGGTGAGGCCCTTCTATCAAGGTGATTCTTTAGGCGCCTCATGGTTCCCACTCCAAGGTAATTTCGTCTCGTCCTCGTTGTAAGCCTCTCTTATTCTCGTTGTGAGCCCCTCTCATCCTCAATCCAAGCCCCACCCTCCTACATAGTGAGGCCCCTTCGTGATGTCTCTCGGTGAGGAAATAATTGTGAGGTATCTGAGTGAAATTCACATGCCCTGATCGCTCCCCGCTGATATGGAAGAGCTGAATGAAGTCAGAAGGGGAACTAATGCGCTGAGTAGGTGATTCCAGAGCCTCAGAAGGGGAGCTAGTATATAAACTTTTGAGGCGCCTCAAAAGTATATCAACAGTCAGTAGATTTTTTAGCTGATGAGGATCTTATCAAGAGTGAAGCTTTTTGTTTGTTTGTTTGTTTGTTTTTTCCCCGCACAATCCTGCCTTTGTTCTATCTCACATCTTTCATGACCCCACCAGGTTGTGCTCGCTCGACGCAAGCCAAGCAAAGCTGCTTATAACGAGGATGAGGGTTGTCCGCCCGGCTCCGAGTGCGCCCTGAAGATAATGGACAAGCGGCACATAGTGAAGGAGAGGAAGGAGCTAGTATATAAACTTTTGAGGCGCCTCAAAAGTATATCAACAGTCAGTAGATTTTTTAGCTGATGAGGATCTTATCAAGAGTGAAGCTTTTTGTTTGTTTGTTTGTTTGTTTTTTCCCCGCACAATCCTGCCTTTGTTCTATCTCACATCTTTCATGACCCCACCAGGTTGTGCTCGCTCGACGCAAGCCAAGCAAAGCTGCTTATAACGAGGATGAGGGTTGTCCGCCCGGCTCCGAGTGCGCCCTGAAGATAATGGACAAGCGGCACATAGTGAAGGAGAGGAAGGTGGCATACATCAAAATGGAGCGCCTCATTCTCGACCGCCTAAAACACCCAGGAATCGTGCGCCTTCTCTTCACGTTTCAGGATGAACACTCCCTCTGTGAGCGCTGGTCTCTTGGGCTTTACTCCAAGGAATACCTTGTGTTGTGTGCGCTCTGCTTCTGGGCTTTTAGGAGGCTAGGATTCTTCCAGTGAGGCTGCTTACAAGGAGGATGAGACGGGGGTGCGCCTGGCTGTAAGTGCGCACTGAAAATAAATGGACAAGCGGCACATAGTGAAGGAGAGGAAGGTGGCACCGTGGCATACATCAAAATGGAGCGCCTCATTCTCGACCGCCTGAGGCACCCGGGAATCGTGCGCCTGCTCTTTACCTTCCAGAACGAGCACTCCCTCTGTGAGCCCTGCTTGCTTGTCTTGGAGATCAAGACAAACATTACCTCTGCATATATAGCCTGCTTCTGGGCTTGCTGAGGCACCCAGGGATCGTGCACCTGCTCTTCACCTTCCAGGACGAGCACTCCCTCTGTGAGCCGTGCTAGCTGGCTCGGGCTTTTAGGCTGAGTTCATCTACATGAGGCTGCTTAAAACGAGGATGAGGGCTGTCCGCGTGGTACCATTCTTAGCCGCCTGATACACCCGGGGGCCGTGTCGTGCGCCTACTCTTCACGTTTCAGGACGAACACTCCCTCTGCGAGACAGACAGACAAACAGACAGACATACAGACTCGCTTGCTTGGGTTTTAAGCTTAACATCTCCTCAGCATATAATCTTCTTCTTGGCTCCCAATGTTTTTTTAGAATTCTCAAAAAACTTAAGCCTAACATCTCCTCAGCACACAACCTGCTTCTTGGCTCCTTGAGGCTTCCGGGGGTCGTGCGCCTGCTCGTCACGTTTCAGGACCGACCAACACTCCCTCTGTGAGCCACGGCTATGGGTAACGGGTCAAATGACGATGGTATCTCCCTCTGTGTATGATCTGCCGTCGGGCTTTAGGCTACGAGTCTTGCTGTCAGTGTTTTGAGTCGACTCAAAACACGATGGTATCTCTCCCTCTGTGTATGATCTGCCGTCGGGCTTTAGGCTACGAGTCTTGCTGTCAGTGTTTTGAGTCGACTCAAAACACGACGGTATCTCTCCCTCTGTGTATGATCTGCCGTCGGGCTTTAGGCTAAGAGTCTTGCTGTCAGTGTTTTGAGTCGAATCAAAACACGATGGTATCTCTCCCTCTGTGTATGATCTGCCGTCGGGCTTTAGGCTAAGAGTCTTGCTGTCAGTGTTTTGAGTCGACTCAAAACACGATGGTATCTCTCCCTCTGTGTATGATCTGCCGTCGGGCTTTAGGCTAAGAGTCTTGCTGTCAGTGTTTTGAGTCGACTCAAAACACGATGGTATCTCTCCCTCTGTGTATGATCTGCCATCGGGCTTTAGGCTAAGATTCTTGCTGTCAGGCACCCGGGGGTCGTGCGCCTGCTCTTCACCTTCCAGAATGAGTCTGCTTTTGAGTCAACTCAAAAACCTTCCAGAATGAGTCTGCTTTTGAGTCGACTCAAAAACCTTCCAGAATGAGTCTGCTTTTGAGACGACTCAAAAACCTTCCAGAATGAGTCTGCTTTTGAGTCGACTCAAAAGCACCCCCACTGTGAGACATGGATTGTTGGGCTTTAGCTTTTGAGTCGACTCAAAAGCACCCCCACTGTGAGACATGGATTGTTGGGCTTTAGCTTTTGAGTCGACTCAAAAGCACCCCCACTGTGAGACATGGATTGTTGGGCTTTAGCTTTTGAGTCGACTCAAAAGCACCCCCACTGTGAGACATGGATTGTTGGGCTTTAGCTTTTGAGTCGACTCAAAAGCACCCCCACTGTGAGACATGGATTGTTGGGCTTTAGCTTTTGAGTCGACTCAAAAGCACCCCCACTGTGAGACATGGATTGTTGGGCTTTAGGATCAGCGTTTCCTCTGTGATCCCAGCTCTTCACTTTCCAAGACGAGCCCCCCACATGGGATTTGGGTGATGCCATGAGGAAGGGTGCTCTTCAACCGAATCAACCGAAT